GTTGCAGCCATCATTGTTGTTTGGCAGGCCTGGGCTGGATTTGAACCTGCCACCTTAGGTGTATGTGGCTGGCGCCTTAGCCACTTGGGCCACAGGCACCGAGCCTTGATTTGCATTTTCCCAGTGATTAATCACGTAGAGCATTTTCTTTCTTTTTTTTTTTTTATAATAGCACAATGGTTTTATTTATGGCAGAAGAAAAAATTCTTACATTTGTAAAAGGTATTTCCTTTATTTAATTCAGTATTTTTTCCCATTCTTCATGCGGCTGAATTTTTTTCCACTTGACATCTGCTTTTTCTTTCTTCATATACTAATATCCACCATGACTGTTGCTTATTCTGAAGGGAGAGTATAAAGTCTATCAACAGATTTTGACCAGGTCCTACATTTCAGTCAACAGACGTAGAGCATTTTCATGTGCTCACTGGCCATTTGTGTGTCTTCTTTGGAGAAATTGTTCAAGCCCTTTACCTATTTTTCAATCAGTTTATTTGCTTTGTTGGTGAGTTGTAAGAAAGTCTTTTTTTTTCAAACTGTGATTTTTATGGTTATTTAACCTAAGCCTTTATTTGCTCACCTTTAAAAATGGAAATAATATTAGTAACTACCTCAGAGTTGTAAGGACTTTATGAGGTAATGTAAGTCAAGTTCTTAACAAATCCCTTGGCACAGAATACTACATGCTCATAATGTGTTTTTTTATTAGTTCTTGTCATATTACGCCAAAACCACAGAGGTTGAAGGAGCACCTAGATATGTCTGTCTTCAGAGCTGTAGATCTTATCTACTCTTGTTAGTTTAAATTAACATGATGGTTAGCAGGTAAATAACTTCCTCAATCTTGTTTATTTTCAAATATTTCCCATCATACTGCTGGTATAGAGTAAGTCAGTTGACTCTATATTTATATTTCAGAATTATGGGAAACAGTTCTGTGCTGGTGATATACTAATAATGAGATTTTACTCTAAATTCAAATAAAGCAATATTGTTATGATATCAAGCAATTTAGCTGCCTTCTGTGTTTATACGTTATTGTTATTGATGATTCTAGTTTAGAAATATTCCATCATCTTGAACAGAATTAATTCTAATACTTTCATATGAGATGTCCAAAGAAGTTTCTATCTTTAACATTAATTCAATTATAGTGATGAGAGCTTTTACTGAGAAGAAAAAGAAATATAGGAAACAAACCAACTACTTCCAGACAAACAAAGACAGCCTGTAGTACATCTCTAATCCAGGCAACAAATAAAACAATTCAGAGCTCTGCTGCTAACTCTTGGTAGAAGTGTTTTGTGTCACTTTTGTTCTAAGTCAAGAAGTAATATCTGGTCTTTAGGGAAAAACCCAGTGGAGGGCATCTCAATGATGACATGAAAACACCTGAAAACTTATTGCCAAAAATCCAAATATAGGTGTGAATTTCTTGAACACCTAATCTCAAAATGACATCAAACATGATTCAGCATACATAATAGTATCATAAATATATAATGAAGGAGTAATGAATTATTGACAAATGAAACAGAACTGCACCCAAGTGAAATGTAAAGCAAGAATGCCTTGTGTGTATTTTATATGGAATGTGGAGCCAGCAGATTCATTTTATAAATTTCACCAGAAGTTAAAGTCCAGGTGGGTGTTCCCTTTTGACTGTAACTGGTATACAGGGTGGCCATAAAGTTCATGTGCAATTTAAAATAGTGTGAACTTTATGTCCACCCTGTATGTAAATATCTGAGACTGCTTCATGCTTAGTTCTTTGAAATTTAGTCATATGCTAAAATTGGGGTTTTCTATCTATCAGAGCAATGGCTATACTGTACACTTAAAATATATACACTGGCCCTAAGTCTATGGGGATAAACTCTATTTAAAAATGAGTTTCTTAATAAAGCATATAGCACACTTCGTACAGTTCAGGTGCAGGAAAAAAGGTTACTGCCACTTGTGAAATAAACATGAAAGATTCTGCATGCCTGTGAATCCCCCAAATGGCCTTCCGAGTATACACCTTAAGTAAAAAGTACAAATGATATTTGGTAGCTCATAATATATCTCTACAGATATTGACAACAGTGGATATGTCAGTGACTATGAACTACAAGACCTGTTTAAAGAAGCAAGCCTTCCTCTTCCTGGCTACAAGGTGCGCGAGATTGTGGAGAAAATCCTAGCAGTTGCCGACAACAATAAAGATGGAAAAATCAGTTTTGAAGAGTTTGTGTCAGTAAGTAATCTAATTCTCTCTTAGCTACTGATCATTTTGTTTCAAACAGAATTTTAATTAATGTCATTGCTAGCTTTCGTTAGATGCAGCTGTAGAGGCCACGAAAGGCATTGTGTTTAAATGATGATGATTATAGTAATAACAATTATTACAATGGAATAATTTATACAAATAACATTTCCTACTAATTGTTCATAAAATAAAAGAATAAAAATCACTCTCAAATTTTGGAATGGAAGTCAGGTTTAGGTAATAGTTCATTCTCTAGAGCAGCGGTTCTCAACCTGTGGGGCATGACCACAGGAACTATATTAAAGGGCCATGGCATTAGGAAGGTTGAGAACCACTGCTGTAGAGTAACTACAGTTGAGTTCAGTACTTATAGACCATTAATATAATTGACTAAATATTTATGGAATACAAATTATCAGGTTTTGCATTATTTATTCTTTAGGCAAATATTTTAGCTTTTCCCAAACTTTGCTAGGCAATGTAAATGATGTGATGAGTAAAAAAAGACAGGGTCTCTGCTTTCATGGAGTTTACATGTGATGGGAAAGGCTGATTCATACAAATGGATTAAAGATAACTGTTATAATTGTTATGACAGAATGGTACAGGTCCTATGAGAGTTTGTAGTGGAAGGTATTGTACTTGAAGGGTAGGTTGGAGAACCCAGGGACTCAGAAGGTGTCCTTGAAGCTATGAAGACTGAGCTGAGTTCTTTTTTTTTTTTTTT